TGCTAATATCTGAACTATCGGACCAACTAGCTCAGAATAATCGCGTAGCTGCCGATTTACATGCTCAAATCCAAACGCTCAAAGTATGCTGATTTTTAGTTGGTGTGGTCGTTGCTTGCTCATCTTACCTTTCTGTAATCATCAGGAGCAAGCAGATACGAATGCAAAAACCACTCCCCTCCACCGGTACAATACCGATGTCTCTACTGGTCAGTGCGCTGGTCAAACTTCTGTAGAGGCAACTCAACGGTAGCATAGAACTATTTGACTCTGAGCTCGAACGCTCCACCGTAGCTTTGATTATGGAGAATCAAGGTCTTCAGCAAGAGAATAAGCAACTAACTACACTCATGACGGAATATGAATCAACGCTGGAGACGGTGATGACAAAGTTTCGGCAGCATGCTGTATGGATATTTATCTATCTCATCGACCTCAAACTAATATGGGTTCATAGCAAATAGTGGCCGACAAACAGTCAGCGCTGCGGGTGCATTACGAACATGTATTAGCGACAGGGGAGGGTCAATCCTCAACACAGACCTACAACCTATTTACATTGCAACAGTCTATGGAGAGACTGAGAAGGCTACTGGAGCTAGCCATCAAGAATGAATCGGGGCAAGGAGAGGATGCAGATCTAGCACAACCAAATCCTTCCCAGGCAGTGATCAAGAATACAGAAGAGGGAGATAGTGCTGGTCAAGAGCAAACCCAAGACACTTTGGACGCCGCTCTTGAAGGACTGACTGACGGTGTTGACTGGGCGATGGAAAGAGAGGCCGAGATTGCACGGCTGACCGAAGAAAATCAAAGAATCCGCAAAGAACTCGGTATATTGGAAGATATAGATGATAATAAGTCAGACCGAAGTTCTTCGCCACTATGGAGTCAGATGCACAGCAGATCATCATCCGCACCCTTTGGGTCTGGGTTCACAACAATGCCACAAATGCCTTCCCCTCAACCCTCACCTCTCGTACCGAATCCTTTCTCACCCGCCTATCCAGGTGCTCAGGGATATAATCCACCCGGTACATTAACGCAACCAGACAGGAGGTTTGGTCTCCCCAACCGAACTACACCCATGGGTCCTGCTCCACCACAAATGGCTCCAAGAAATACACTAGGGGAAGGTAGTTTAGTAGGTCGGCAGCCACCTGCATTCCCCAATTTCTTTCGCGGAGCACCTCCAGCACGAGAACGTTTAGATCTTGCTGGAGGGCAGCCACCATTACTTTGAGTAGACGCCTTGGGTCACTTGGATATCATTTATTACGACATGAGCCTATTAATCGAAATGATCTATTATATTCTTGGATTATCATTCTCCTCTTCAGTGTCTGGAGACCCTCATTACTAAATGTCAACGTTGCATGTAAAAGAAGCATAATGTTTAGAATCTCAAAGTATCGATACGAAAGGATCTCTATTGTACAAGCTTTGTATGCATGATTACAGGCCTACAGTACATTTTTAGGCCAAGTCAAATAGCAAGACCTCAGCTTCGGCATCTCCGATATTTTCGATACGAACAATCTCGCTTGCATCTCCTGTAGCTGTGACAAAGGCGCCATCACCTTCTCCAAGCTCCAGGGCACCGTTCACCTTGACTCTGTTGCCCTTGCTAGCCTCGGTGTTATATCCACTAGTTTGGACCACATGGACGTAACCCTTCTTCATCTTCAAGGCGTGCTCTACTTTGTTTCCGGCGCCGAGCAAGGTGGCGTAGAGCCAAAGAGGACTGTGAACAGGTGTAGGTCCAGTACCCTCTCGTGAATCGTTGACACCTTCTTCTCCTTGTTTTGCAACTACAGGAACGAGACCCTTCCTCTTTTCTTCATCCGAGAAATGGCGGTGATAGTATTTAGGTGGAAGCCCACGGGTGGATGGCAAGGACCAGATTTGGAGGAAGTGAACTTGGTTGTCACCGTGCGTCATTTCAGAGTGCCGAATACCGGTTCCAGCGGATGTGAGTTGGACGTCGCCTCGTTTCATCACCTCCACATTGCCCATGGAGTCACGGCTACGTGATTATCGGTCAGACACAAATTCAGTTGAATGAAGTCAAGTTACTTACTGTTGAAGCTCTCCTTGGACAATATAACTGAAGATCTCGAACTCGCGATGGGCATGTGTGCCAAACCCTTGCTTAGCTTCTACTCGATCTTCGTTGATGACACGAAGGCTTCCCCACTTTTCGAAACGGGGATCATAGTAACTATTAGGAATATAAGTTAGAGAAGTAGATGGATTAGGAATTTAGACTCACTCGGCAAAATTGAACGTGTGGAAGGTCTTGAGCCATCCATGATCAGCATTGCCCCTCTCTTGATTTGGCCTGAGAGTGAGCTCAATGTTAGAGCCGTCTGCAGCTTGAACAGTAGTTTGAGCCATGGGAGCGTGTGTTGGGATAGAGATGTGTCGCTGAGTAGGTAGAAGAGAGGTCGCTGGACGGATTGAGGTTGCGGTGGCTTTGGCGGTAGTACTTGGTCTAAAAGAGTTTTTCAAGAGTCTCAAAGACAACTGAGTTGGTTGTACTCGGGAAAGTAGCAGAGCCAGAATGATTGTACCAAGTGCGGTGAAGATGAGTACTGTGGACTGGGTGCGTTTAGAGCGACGTGGGGTTGATGTTGGAGTATCCAGGTTTTGGAGAGGATGAGTAGAAAGATGGAGATTAGTTTGGCTTGTTTATATACGTTTTCTGAGGCAGGAGGGGGTCGAGGAATACGTTACCTATTTGGGCAACTGCTTATTCAGCACCTGGGAATCGCTGCTCCTCTTC